TTGAGTTTAGTGTTGTTTTTAGTTGAGTGCATTCTAATTTATATAGATGTATTAAATCATTCCAGTGTATTTGTGTTAAGTTCTTACATTTCTGATTATTTTTGCTTTCTATTTTGATATGTATTGTACATATACCTGGCATAAAATGTATAGATACTGTATTATGTAATGTATATGTAAATGTGCATTATGTAAAATTTACCATTTTAGCTATTTTTAGGTGACATTGTGACATTATATTCACAATGTCGTGCAAACATCACCACCATCCATCCCCAGAACTACTGCATCATCCTAAACTAAAGCTCCATGCTCATTAAACAGTGGTTCCCACCTTTCTCTCCCAGCTCCTGGTGACCTCCGCTCGACTCTGTGTCTGTGACTTAGCCTACCTAGGTAATTCGTATAGAGTCATGCCATCTTTGTTCTAAAAATACTGTTTTCTATGAGATACATTATTTCATAAAATAAAATTATCCCATAAAATATAATAGTGATATTCTTGTTTATTATCGCTTCTATAACCTTATCATTTATTTGATATTATTGTTTCTTCATTTTCCCCTTTCTTGTTTCTGTTAGTTATTGAAAGTTCACTTCTGTTAGTGAGTACCTTCTTGCCTCTTGCCCTCAGAAGCATATGGTGGTACTGTTAATTGAAAGCAAATTCATATTATTTTATCACACCAAGGTTACACTATTTCTTCTTTTCTTCTACACAAGGAAACTGAAACCTTTGAGATATTTTTCAGCTCTTCTTCTCCTATACCTCCTCTTTGTTCCCGTAAAACCTTTGAAAAGGTTTTATTTCCTCCCTCTCCTACTTCTCAACTCCTAAGTTTTTCAAATATAGTTAAGTTTTTAAAAATAATTTTCCTTACAGCATATTTCTTGTTAAAAGCACTTTGGTTGCATATTCTAAAAGAGTGTGTTCTTGCCGGGCACAGTGGCTCACGCATGTCGCTGTGGGAGGTAGAGGTGAGAGGATTGCCTGAGCCCACGGATTCAAGACCAGCCTGGGCAATTTGGCAAGACTTTATCTCTACAGTAAATTAAAAAATTAGCTGGGCTTGGTAGCGTGCTTCTGTACTCCCAGCTACTTGGGAGACTGAGGTGGAAGGATCACCTGAAGCCAGCATGTCTAGGCTGCAGTGCCTATGAGTGTGCCACTGCACTCCAGCCTGGATGACAGAGTGGGACTCCAACTCAAAAAAAAAAGAGTGTTCTTATCCATTTGGACTTAATTTCATATTTTATTGTTTACTATTCTTCCCTTTTATCTGGAGAAGTAATGTTGGATGTAACAGATAGAAGGGCACGACCAGAACCATTTGTACCCATATGGGTAAAATACCAAAGGCAATGTCAGGTGAGAAAATTATTTGAAAAAGTTATTATTTGATGCGATTTCTATAAAGTTCAGAACCCCTCATAATACTTGACAAAAAACAAATTCAGGCTTAGTTAATTTCTGGGGCAGTATGGAGGGGGAGAGTAAGTTTAGGGAGAAGAATGTAGAAAGCTTTGTGGATACTATAATACATTCCTTAAGTATACTATAGTACTTTTCCTGAGATATTTATGAAAATAGACCAGGAGACTTAACATGTTCTGTTGGGTGGCGGTGAATAGACACTATGCCTTAGATTAAAAGGAGTACACAGAGGATGTAGCATTGAACAGGATATCTGGAGCTTGGGAAAAGAGAGCTAGGAAGATGCACCAAATTGCTCAAAAGCCTGACCCTTCCTTTTGATCAGATTTCTGGGGACCTGCCCAGCTTCACTCTCCTAGCCACACCATCCCCACTTGTCTTGTGAGAGACCCAAGCACAGCTGAGCCCTTCTCACATGTACCCAGTGGTGGTTTCAGTACAGCAGGTATACTAAGATAGGCCTGTGGGGGAGGCACCAGACTCCTGGTAGGTGACTCTGACTCCAGAACTCTTTTTTTTTTTTTTTTTTTGAGTTGGAATCTCACTCCATTGCCCAGACTGGAGTGCAGTGACCGCTCCCGGCCACCGCAGTCTCAACCTGCTGGACTCCGGCGATCCTTCCGCCTCAGCCTTCCAAGTAGCTGGAACTATAGGCGTGCACTACCACACCCAGCTAATTTTTTTGATGTATTGTAGAGATGAGGTCTCGCCAAGTTGCCCAGGCAGGTCTCAAACCCGCGGGCTCGGGCAATCCACTCACCTCAGCCTCCCAAAGGTGCAGAATTACAGGTTGAGCCACCAAGCCCAGCAGGACTCCAGAACTCTTAAACAGCTTTACCAAACTATCTTAGAACTGTGCTGATTCTTGCTGCTCAATCTTTCTTCCTTGTCTCCTCTGCAGGGATCAGACCTACATTGTAGACTTGTCTCTGGCTCGCCTGGCTTTCTCTGGCTCATTTTTTTTTTCCTTGGCAAGCGTTCCTTCAGTCTCTTGTGTTTCTAATCCCACCTGCTTCTTGGAGGACCTAAACTAATGCCTGAGTCAATGTGAAGTGCCTGGTACTTAGTAAGCAATCATAAGTCTTAGTTTGGTTATAGTAGACTAAGTAAGCGAGACTGTGCTAATGACTATGAATGGAACTGTCAACATTAGAGAGACATTTGGGTGATGGATACAGTAGGTTTGTCATTGAATGTAAGGAATAAAAAGGGGTTAGGGGCCAGGCGGGTGGCTCACGCCTGTAATTCCAGCACTTTGAGAGCCAAGGCGGGATTTTTGAGCCTTGGGGTTTGATACCAGCCTGAGCAACATAGCAGACCTTGTCTCTACGAAAAAAATAAAAAATTAGCCAGATGTAGTGGCATGTGCCTATAGTCTCAGCTATTCGGGAGACTGAGATAGAAGGATAGCCTGAACCCAGGAGTCGAGGCTGTGGTGAGCTATGATCATGTTACTGCACTCCAACCTGGGCAACAGAGTGAGATTGCAACTCACCAAAAAAGCGGTGGGAGCGATTGGGTTGCTCAGTTTCCTCCTTATCACTCCCCGCTCTACTCTTTACATGAAACCACATTGATTTGCTTATAGCTCACTGCAGTCACCATGATCATCTACATGTCTTTACTCATACTGTCGTTTTTTCATAAAATATCCTTCCTCCTATCTCTTGTACCTTTGCCTGGCAAACTCCAATTTTTTGAGACTAAGCTCAGGAACCAGCTGCTCTAGGAAGGCTTCTCTTTTCCCCTCTCCTTCTCACTTTCAACTCGTACCCTATCCTTGGGTTTGTAAACCATCTTTTTGTTTAAACTCTAGATTCCTTTAGTCATTAGGTGAGACTGCAGAGGTGTGCAGGAGTCAGTTAATCCTTTTACAGTTTATTCAGAGAACAATGGGAAACCTTTAGAGCAGGAGTCCCCAACCCCTGGGCCGTGGACCGTACCAGTCTGTGCCTGTTAGGAACCAGGCCACAGGAGTGCAAACCCTATTGTGAACTGCACATGTGCGGGATCTGGGTTGTGCTCCTTGTGAGAATCTAATGCCTGATGATCCCCCCCACCACCCCTGGTCCTTGGAAAAATTGTCTTCCATGAAACGGTCCCTGATGCCAAAAAGACTGGGGCCAGCTGCATTAGAGGATTTAAAGTATAGGGTAATATGATGTGTTTTAAGTTTTGTGAAGATTACTTTAGGCCGGTCACAGTGGATCACGCCTGTAATCTTAGCACTTTGGGAGGCTGAGGTGGGAGGATTGCTTGAGCCCAGGTGTTCAGCCCAAGCAAGATAGTGAGACCTCATGTCTACAAAAAATTAGCCAGGTGTGGTGGCACACGCCTGTTCCAGCTACTCAGAAGGCTTAGGGGGAGGACTACCTGAGCCCAGGAGGTCGAGGCTATGGTGAGCCGTGACTGTGCCACTACACTGCATCCTGGGTGACAAAGTGAGACCCCCAACTCAAAAAAAATCATGTTAGCAACTTGTTGTAGATTGGGGAGGGGGGTGCAAATTTGGTTTGGTGCAAACCCTGGAGCCTGAATTCCTGGCTCCATCATACACTGTTTACTCTTAGAACTGTTACTTAACCTTTCGTTGCCTCAGTTTTCCCGCCTGTAAAATAGGGATAAAAGTGGTCGTCCTATAGAGCTGCTGTGAAGATTGAATCAGTTAAAAGAACTTAGATTAGTATCCAGTACATAGTAAGGGGTCAGATATTACCTATTATGTTATTATTTAACAAATATTTGTGTCCTTACTGCATCCTAGGCACTGGGCCAGATGCCATTATCAGGCTGATTTAACAAGCTCAAATTAATATGCAGACAAACCTTTGGGTTATAATGATGTGTTTTTAAGAATTAGAATAGAATATAAAACAGTTGGCCATTGGCATGTCATAATTCTGTATATGTTTTATTTTGATTCCTTTGATACTTTTAATGTATTGAATCAGTCACTGGGGAACATTTTTTGAATGAATTCATGAATGCTAAGTATAATCATTTTGTTGTAAGTTTCCTTGCTTTACAACTTGGTAATTAAGAAATTAATTTTCTGAACATGTACTAGTATTAAATATATTCCTATAATGAGTGATCTTTTGGTAAAATATATCAACTTTGTAAGTGCTCTTGAGTTTTTGTGTACCAATTTATGAGCGGTGTTTTCGTTTAAGTAAAAGCAACAGAATGGCAATTGATGTGTAAATGAGTAATGAATGTATGGAGAAGCTGAGAGATTTGCTTTAATGGAATTTAAGTGACTAAAAAATAGTATGCATCTGTCGTGTTAAAGAACTAAAAGGATTTATACTTGTTTTATACAAGAAAATATCAATAGCAGTTAACCTTGGTGCGTGAGATTGGAAAATGGAGGCATGCTTTTATAGTGAAATTTTGTAACGAAGTAACAGAGAAAAACAATGACAAGAAAAGTTCAAGTGCATCCAGGCATCATGAGCTTGATCTAGTATGCTTCATAGAAACTGTGCTAAAATAGAACTTAAAATGAGTTTCATCTCTGTTCTTGTTCCATTGTTAATGTATGTTACCTGCTTTATATTTACAGGGATGTGCATGCAGTCTGTCTCTGGGATGATAAAGGCCCAGCAAAAATTCATCAGGCTTTAAAAGAAGATATTCTTGAATTTATTAAGCAAGCACAGGCAGTAAGTTCTGCATCTTTATTTTATTTTGAGTTCGGGGTCTCACTTTCTTGCCTAGGCTGGAGTGCAGTGGCATGATCACGGCTCATGGCAGCCTTGACCTCCTGAGCTCAGGTAATCCTTCCCCTCTGCCTCCCAAGTAGCTGGGACTATAGGCGCACACTACGCCTAGCTGTTTGTTTGGTTTTTTGTAGAGACGAGGTCTCACTCTGTTGCCCAGGCTGGTCTCAAACTCATGAGCTCAAGTGATTCTCTTGCCTCAACCTCCCAGAGTGCTGGGAATAAAGGAATGAGCCATTGTGCCCTGCCTTTTATTTTAGATTTGTTTTAAAATTACTCAGACAATATCTTATTTTATGCTTTTGAAGATAGGACTTCCTGAAGTCATTTTAAAATATCACATTGACTTTTGACACATTTGTTAAATAAATGTTTTAATGAAATGATTATTGTTAGTTGGATTTTTTTCCTCTCATGGTAATATTTCTGTCAAGAGAGTACATTATTATTCTTAATTAAAAGATGCTATAAAGAATTTCTTTTTTAATTCGTTTTTTAGAAATCTCCACCACCATTATTTTTTGGCTGAATGTTAGTCCATATGAATCTATTTTTTTCCTTTCATGACTAATATCTCTTCTCAAGTTGACAATTCTTCAATTCCAGATACTTCTGCAATTGTAAAATCCTTGGGCTGTCCTTTGTATTGCTACTGCTGAGCTGAAATTCAGCACTCTTGTATTGATATTATGTATGAATGATTACTATTGTTGAAATGGACACAAAGCTCATTTAGACAGTAGATCAATTATGTGAAAGTTGGTTTTGTTTGGTGTTTTGTTTTGTTATGTTTTTTGAGTTGGAGTCTCACTCTGTCGCCCAGACTGAGCCACCTTCACAGCCACCACAGCCTCAACCTGCTGGGCTCAGGTGATATTTCCGCCTTAGCCTTCCAAGTACCTGGAACTATAGGCACGCGCCACCATGCCTGGCTAATTTTTTGATTTATTGTAGAGATGAGGCCTCATCAAGTTGCCCAGGCTGGTCTCAAAAGCTCAGGCAATCCGTTCACCTTGGCCTCCCAAAGTGCTGGGATTATAGGCATGTGCTACCACACCCAACCTTTGTTTTTATTAATACCTTATAATGTGTTATTTTAAATCACTGTGGCCTGTCTCATAAATAAATCTCTTACCATTTCGAGGAGAGGTCCAAGGACATTTTCCTTTCTATAAAAGGAAGTTTGAAAACTTGAAGGCTAGAATTTCTTACACTTTTGTTGGTTTCTTACTTACATCAGTATCTTGTACAATATTAGTAAAAGTTGTTTGTTGAAGATCTTGTTGAATACACAGATTCTTAGCAGAAAATGAAAAATGAGCTTTTCTGTATGTAGCTTAATGGTAAGATTGAAACCAAGTATATAATTGGGGTATATTTAATTCAGCTAGTAGCTCCTACTGTGATGGAGTAAGAATGATGTTGCATTGGGTATTACTTATGAATTGTTTTATTGATAGCATCTTTGTAAATATTTTTATAGAAAATTATCTTTTAATAACATAAATGCTATTTTCAAGCTTTACTTAGAAAATTAAATGTTTCAATATCACAATTTAATCACAACTATTTTCTTAGAACTGATTTCAAAATAATTTCCACTTGCATTGGAAAAATATATCAGCTTTTCTTTTTATGACTTTTGATAAAGATAAATTATGTTTATTTCAAATTGGTAGAACTTTGTTCTTTAATTTCTGGACATAGATTCATAAATAATCATCTTTGATATTGTTAACAGATGTTAAAAAAATATTGGCCAGGCTTGTAATCCTAGCACTTTGAGAGGCCAAGGCAGGAGGATTGCTTGAGCCCAGGAGTTCGAGACCAACCTGGGCAACATAGCGAGACCTCATCTCTACAAAAAAACTGAAAAATTAGCTGGACTTAGTAGCACTTGCCTATTGTTTCAGCTACTCGGGAGGCTGACACTGGAGGATTGCTTTAGCCTAGGAAGTCAAGGCTGAGGTGAGCTGTGATCATGCCACGGCTCTCTAGCCTGGGCGAAGAAAATTTAGTTTTAGAGTCATTTTGCTAGATAATCTTCAGTTGAACTTATCTTGTTAGGAAGGACCAAAGCTTCCAAATGAGAAAGGAAGTATGCATTCAAGAGTATATTATAGCATTATTGAAAGGGCAACAAAGGAGAAATACAATTCATAAACATACAGTGGTTGAGAAATTACCCGGAAGTAGAATTCTCTTTTTTATAGTTTAGCACAACTCTTCCATGGTCGAGTGATGTCACCTCAGCTTCCTAGAGCAGTGGTGGTCAGCTGTCGGCTCTGCAGGGTCTGGGAGGCCCAGGAGAGAGCATGTGACATGTGCATTATTAGTGGTACGTCATGTGGGGTGGGTGCTCTCTTCCCTATTTGGCTGCTCATTCTCGAAGAAACCAGACTTTGAAGGGAAAGCAGCATCAGCAAGACCCCTTCAGGCCTAGGCTTGGAAATCTCACAGCATTCTATCTGTGTATACATTCTTTTGGTCCAAGCAAGTCGCAGAACCAGCCTAAACTCTAGCCAGAAGGCTTAGATTCCGCCACCTTTGTTAAAAATTGAGATATAATTTATATGACATAAGATTTACCCTCTTAAAGAGTGAAATTCAGGCTCTTAGGGCATATGATTCAGTGGGTTGTAGTCCATTTGTAAAGTTGTGCACCCTCACCCACTAATTTCAGAATGTTTTCATCACCCTAACAAGAAACCCTGTATCTGTTAACAGTCGCTGTCTATCACTCCTTCCTTGCAACCCACTGAACCACTGATCTGCTTTCTGTCCTATGGGTTTATCTCTTCTTGACGTTTCCTATAATACAATCATAGTGTATGATTCCTTTTATAGGAATGATTTCCATCATACAGTATACTGTATGATTCCACTTATAGGAACGATTGTCACTTGGGATATGGTTATTACTTGAGATGTTTTCAAGATTCATCTATGTTGTAGCATTTACCAGTATTTTGTTTATTTTTATTGTGGCATAATATTCCATTATGTAGATATACCATATATTGTTTATCTGTTCATCAGCTGATGGATATTTGGGTTGTTTTCACTTTTTGTTTATTTTGAATAACTCTTCTATGAACATTTGTATAAAAAATTTTTTGTAAGCATGTCTTAATTTCTCTTGGATATAATACAGTTTGTATAACAACTCTAAAAATTTTAAATTATGGCATTAATATGTTTTATTCCTGTTCTTCAAAGCATCTGCATTTATTTCAAATTGATGCATTTCTTTTTTTCAGCGAGTACTGAGCCATCAAGATGATACAGCTTTGCTAAAAGCATATATTGTTGAATGGCGAAAATTCTTCACACAATGTGATATTTTACCAAAACCTTTTTGTCAACTAGAGATTACTTTAACCGGTAAACAAGGCACCAATAAAAAATCAAATATGGAAGACAGTATTGTTAGAAAGGTAAGACAGTTTTTCCCATTGTTTTTCTAATATTCTTCAGAAAGGGAATAGTTTGAAGGCACATGAAAGTAATTTAAACTTTAAGTGGGTTTTTCTGATTCACATGTAAATTATTTTTCAGCTCTTATTAGATTTTATTGAGGAAAAATATTTTTTTCTTTCATCCATCTTTAACTTAACCCTCCCCCTTTTTTTTTTTGAGTCAGAGTCTCACTGTGTTACTCAGGCTGGAGTGCAGTGACACAGTCACAACTCACCATCGCCTCAACCTCCTGGACTCAGGTAGTCCTTCCACCTCAGCCTCCTGAGAAGCTGGGACTACAGGCATGCGTCACCATGCCCAGCAATTTTTAAAATTTTTTTTGCATAAATGAGGTCTCACTATGTTGCCTAGGGTGGTGTTGAACTTCTGGGCCCAAGCAATCCTCCCACCATGGTCCCAAAGTTCTGGGATAACAGATATGAGCCACCACACCTGGTCTTTCATCTTTTTATATGGTCTTAAGCTGTAAATCTGTGTCTTCAAACATTATCTCCTGTGCTTTTCTTTTTTACATTATCCTTTTCCTAGTTTTATCTTGAATATTTTCTTTCCCTATTCTTTGTTCAATTTCTTTGTTTACTACAAGTTAAATTACTGTTTTTCCCCTTTCAAATCTTTCCTTTTATGAAGTTGTCTTCTATTATCTTTGTGTTTAATCATGGCCAAACTGCTGTCATCTTTATAATCTTCCTTTTACTTAATACTAGCTATCACAAACTCATTATCTCCTGTGGTTATTTTCATATCTTCTATAGTTTCCAATTAAAAGCTTTATGTCTAGTAACCAGTAATGGAATGGTGGAAATACCTCAGTCCTGACAGTGAAGGGTCCTAGGTTTCCCTTTCAACTCTTCAGTGCTCTTCAGACTCTCTGTCCTAATTTTCTGTGTATCTCTTCCTACTTGTGGGAATCAAGTGGAACCATAGCTTTGAAAAGTAAAACATGCCATTTGAATTTTGAACTTTAACCAACTTACTGTTTGCTGTAATGGTTATGGTTACAAACTTAGACACTGCAGTAGTGTAGCCTGGACATCTTGGCCCTGTCCCAGCCTTAAAGTTTGCACTAATGTTGACAAGGATACTGTAAATTTAGATCTTTAGTGGTAGAAATAACTGCAGTATGGGAAATTTATACCCCCAAGATGGTGGAAATTACCTGTAGATGACAGTTAATTTGTAGGCACAAATTACGTGTTCATTTGTTTTTCTGTTACTCCTTTGATTTTTGCCATTCCTCATTGATTGTGAGAAGCAGCATCACTTAATGATTAAGAGAATTAATTTCAGAACCACAGTTGTCTGAGTCAAATCCCAGCATTGCCCCTAATGAGCTGTGTGAATGTAGGAAAGGTAGCTTTACTCTCTGTGCCCTAGGTTTCACATGTCTAAAGGGGGGATAATAATAATAGTACCTATATCAAGGTTTTGAGGGTTACGTGGAAAATATGAAGAGCATTCCCAGGTACACAGTGAATGTTATAAAACTATGAACTTAGCCGGGCTTGGTGGCTTAGTCTGTAATCCCGCACCTTGGGAAGCTGAGGTGAGTGAATTGCCTGAGCCCGCAGGTTCGAGGCCCACCTGGGCAACTTGATGAGACCTCATCTCTACAATAAATAAAAAAATTAGCCGGGTGTCGTAGCGCACACCTGTAGTTCCAGCTACTTGGAAGGCTGAGGCGGAAGGATAGCCGGAGCCCAGCAGGTCGAGGCTGCGGTGGCTGGGAGTGGCCATTGCACTCCAGTCCGGGTGACAGAGTGAGACTCCAACTCAAAAAATAAATAAATAAATAAAATAAATAAATAAAACTATGAACTTGTTATTATCACTATTATTATTATTATCAATCCCAGTTCTAATGTCTGATTAGACATTAGGAAACGCTCATTCTTTACCTTTGTGCTAAATATGCTGTTTCCCTGAAATATTAAGTGAATGCAGGTCTAAATTGTATATGACTACTGGAAAATTCTGTTGTCTTTTGTTCTTGTTTTCCTAGCTCATGCTTGACACATGGAATGAGTCAATCTTTTCAAATATAAAAAACAGACTCCAAGATAGTGCAATGAAGCTAGTACATGCTGAACGATTAGGAGAAGCTTTTGATTCTCAGCTGGTCATTGGAGTGAGAGAATCCTATGGTAGGTTCTGAATTCATGATCACAATTTCCATTTCATGGGAATTCTTAGACAATTACAGAAGAGTGCTATCGAAGTTAGGCCTACTAGCATTTAAAGTCACGTCTTTTTATGCTAGATTTTTTTTAAACAGGTACACAAACTATATTAATTTTGCTTTAAAGAAGCCTATACAAATTTATATTCAGTGGTTAATGTTTATTTTCTCCACATCATTAATTTCTTGTCTAGCAAATCTTTTTAATGAACTGAATTAGAGAACATAAATTTTGAATTTATAACTTATAAAAGGTAACTATAGCTCATTTTAAAAAAAGGCTTTGTGTTTGTTTTCAGGAAGTAGCTTACTTCCATGTGTACAAACTCTGGATGAGATGAGGTCCTCTTACTTAGTGCTTCATAGTACCTGTGCCTCTCTGGTGTAACACTTTTGCTTAATTGTGTTGCTGACTCTGTATCTTTATTGAACTTAGAATGCCGGGCACAAAATCAATCTTGTGAAGTATTTGTTGAACTAATGAACATCTAGAGTTAATTGTGACTGACTTTTTTCCACTGCCCTCATTTAGTTACCAATTCTCTAGATTTTCATTAACATTGGCCCCCCAGATTTATTTCTTTCTGTTTGGCCTGCCACCAGTTTTGGTTTTGACTTCTTTAAATTGTACATCTAGACTTTTAAAGTAGTCTTACGTTGTTCTTATTGCTATCAATTAAACCTGTATGCTGTTTACAAGATTTATTTTAAAGTACTATTTTGTTGATATTTTTCCTACTTACCCATTAAGTGGTATACCATGCTAAATTTGGATTACTTAGTTTGAGGTTTGAGGCTCTCCACAACCATTCCTAATTTACCTTTCTATCATCTGTTATCCTTATAGTCCACTTAGACAGTCTAGTCGTTATAGCTTGTACTTTGCTGTTTCTGAATATTTACTTACCTTACTAATCTGTCTGTGCAAATCTTAGTTTACTCTTTAAGATTTGGTTTAAATCCCATCTCTGTGAATTTTTTCTTGATCATCTAGTTAGAAGTCAGTTTGTTTGCTATTCAGAAATAAAATAGTCCATATTATCTATTCTGTTTATTTGTTACTTAACTGCTTTGTGCTGTTATCCTCTCAAATTTCTTATGGAAAAAGATTTGTCTTATATGGCTGTGTGTTATCTTGAGCATTGTTATCTTGCACATAATGACTCTTCAGTGTTTGTTAATTCATTTGCTATACTCAAAATACTGATTTAGATTATAATTAAAGTAAAATTGTATTTTCTGTTTTTCAGTTAACCTTTGTTCCAATCCTGAGGATAAGCTTCAAATTTATAGGGACAATTTTGAGAAGGCATACTTGGATTCAACAGAGAGATTTTATAGAACACAGGCACCCTCATATTTACAACAAAATGGTGTACAGAATTATATGAAATATGTAAGTCAGAACTTAGTATATGTGATAATTTGAGCTATTCTCTTGATATTCTTAAAATGATTGCTATTTTGCTTCTGGACAGGCAGATGCTAAATTAAAAGAAGAAGAAAAACGAGCACTGCGTTATTTAGAAACAAGGCGAGAATGTAACTCTGTTGAAGCAGTAAGTAATTTTGTAACTGTACATTTGATGGAATTACTTGGATGGCAGCCCAGGAGTGGGAAATACATGACACATGTAGCGTTACTTACCCTTTTCTCGTGTCTGTGACCAGCACAACTGATGGATTCGAGTGTCTTTCCCAGCCTCAGGAGGTACCTGATTCAGAGCAGCATGTTTTTCAGAGCTGATGTGCAAGATAAAATCTGTTTGCCATTCCTGCTCTAGACTTCACTGTGTTTAATATTCTTAATTTTAAATCAACCGGGCTCGGTGGCTCAGCCTGTAATCCCGCGCCTTTGGGAGGCTGAGGTGAGTGGATTGCCTGAGCCCGCGGGTTTGAGACCCGCCTGGGCAGCGAGACCTCATCTCTAAATAAATCAAAAAATCAGCTGGGTGTGGTAGCGCATGCCTGTAATTCCGGCTACTGGGAAGGCTGAGGCGGAAGGATCACCGTAGCCCAGCAGGTCGAGGCTGCGGTGGCCGGGAGCGGCCACTGCACTCCAGTCTGGGTGACAGAGTGAGACTTCAGCTCAAAAAAAAAAAAAAAAAAAAATTTTAAATCAGTCTCCTTTTGTATTTTGTGTACATCTAAAATTAACCATTTTAGTGGTTTTCGTGTTTCAAGTATTCTCCTCAGGACACAGTTACTTCCCATTTGTTCACAGCAGTTATGTTCCGTAAATGACAGTGAACACCGAATTCATGAATACTGAACCATTATTCCTAGAGCATACTTTTTCTTGTTCTGGGAAGATGTTTCAAGCTTCATTTTGTCATAAGATAAAATATTAATTATTTGATAAGAGAACATCAGATTTTTTAATATTATTTTATTGCTTTTATATTGTGTTGTAAGATCCCTCATTTTTAAAAAAATGATCAGACAGAGTAGCCATGCTAGGTTTTCTCTTTTACATGGAGAACTGACCTGTAGTGTGCCTCAGTAGGAAAGGAAAAATCCAGTTTGGAGAGAGTAATGGAATCTGCTCAACTACAACGATAGTTTTCCCCCAGTTCCTTTTAGTCTTTAGATCCTAGAAACTAGATTTAGATTTGCATTCAAAGGGGTATATATATTCCAGCTTGCCCATAACCAAACGTTTTTCAGCTATGGATGGGATTAAAGATTTTTTTTTTTACGTCTGACTTTTCTTTGGTTTCTTCCATCTCGAATGATATGCTTATTTTACTCTGTTCAGAAATCATGCTAAGTGAGCTGGGCTCAGTGGCTCAGCCTGTAATCCCATGCCTTTGGGAGGCTGAGGTGAGTGAATTGCCTGAGCCCG